GAGATAGACATCATGGGGAGGAGTGAGGAAGGAGGCAGACATCATGGGAGGAGGAGAAGGCACGTGGGAGGAGGAGGAAGCTAGACATCATGGGAGGAGGGGAGGGAGGAGATAGACTCATGGGGAGGAGGAGGAGGAGGCAGACATCATGGAGGGAGTGGGAGGAAGAAGATAGACATCATGGGAAGGGAGGAGTAGGGAGGAGGCAGACATCAAAGGGAGAAAGCACATGGGAGGAGGGAGGAAGGAGGCAGACATCATGGGAGGAGGAGGAAGAAGGCAGACATCAAGGAGGAGGAAGGAGGCATCATGGGGAGGGAGTGAGGGAAGGGACATCATGGGAGGAGTGGAGGAAGAAGATAGACATCATGAGGAAAGGAGGAAGAAGATAGACATCATGGGAGGAGTGGAGGGAAGGAGGCAGACACAAAGGGGAGAGGGAGGAAGAAGATAGACATCATGGAGGGAGGAGGAAGGAGGCAGACATCAGGGGAGGAGGAGGAAGAAGATAGACATCATGGGAGGAGGAGAGGAAGAGGCATCATGGGGAGGAAAGAAGTGGAGGACACAGGGAGAGGGAGGAAGGAGGCAGACATCATGGGAGGAAGTAGGAGGAAGCAGACATCAAGGGAGAGGAGGAAAGAGATAGACATCATGGGAGGAGGAGGGAAGAGGGAGAGACTGAAGGGAGGAGTGAGAAGAGGGCAGACATCATGGGAGGAGGAGGAAGAAGATAGACATCATGGGAGGAGGAGGAGGAGGCAGACATCATGGGAGGAGTGAGGGAAGGAGGCAGACATCATGGGAGGAGTGGGGAGGAAGAAAGATAGCATCATGGGAGGAGAAGACATCATGGGAGGAGAGGAGGAAGAAAGATAGACATCATGGGAGGAGTGAGGAAGAAGATAGACATCATGGGAGGAGGGAGGGAAGAAGATAGACATCATGGGAGGAGTGGAGGGAGGAGGCAGACATCATGGGGAGGGAGGGAGGGAAGGAGGCAGACATCATGGGAGGAGTGAGGAAGAAGGCAGACATCATGGGAGGAGTGAGGGAGGCAGACATCATGGGAGGAGTGAGGG